GGTCTGTGACAGAACCATCTGTCTGCTTGCATTCGTCTGTTTGTTTCCCGTTCGTATGAATGGCTGGTTTCTATAGCCCAGCCATTTGAATGACTATTTTTTCCCGAACAAACCTGCCGAACGAACGGCCACCCAAGAGAGGAGTGTGCTGCTGGTTAACGTAGTGATCCCAATTAGAACGTTGTGGTTAACCGCAGACACTTCTCAATTAAACCGAATTCAGGGTGGTCGTCGTTCGTATGTCGACCACGAGGCAGCGGCCATTTTAAACCAAGCGAAAGCCCAGCGGTGTTCGGCTCTATTTCTATGGAACTAAAAACGGACACTTTTTCTGCCGAACACCGCTGAAACAACGGAACGCCTGGCTGCCTCCACGAAAGCATGCGAACACCGGCCGTTCGGGAGATTTGGAGCATACGAAAAGACTTAACCCAGATAGCCTTCCCATGAAGTCATTCGTATACCGAAAGACTGTAAGAACTTTGACTCCATGGCGATTGAACTATGTGTGTGGGATCTGAGCGCTATTCGCTAATAATATGCACTCAGATCCAGGCTATCTGGGGATATGTAATACGAATGGGAAATGTTCGGTTTTTGTGTAGTTATATATTTTTATGTCTTTTATTATTTTATGTCTAAGATGGCGACTGGCTTTGTCCTGGAGTTAATTGAGTTACTTGGTAATTAACTCCAGGGCAGAGGGGAGGGAATCATAATGCACTGTGGGTAAAATCTGTGACTGTGTGTCTGAAATGTCCCCCTATCTGTCTGTCATTTAAGTCTCCCATTTGGTCCCCTAGGGGAGTGTCCACCAGGTGGGAGACCTGCATAAATACAGGCAGGTAGCCCACAGTAAAGCCAGATCCTGTTTGACCCTCAATGCGGAGCTTCTGTCTCGTTATTGGGGGGATTTCTTCTTCACGTTTAGAGACTGCTGGATGGAACGGAAGCCGCTTGGTGAATATTGTTGTTCGGCGGCTGGCAGCAGTTCGTGTATTACCGTTCGGGAGTTTGGAGCCGTTCACAGAGCTCGGTCGGGAGATTGCCACTTCCCCTGCATTTGGTTCGTGCACTACAGGGTAAGCGAACGGAGGCTGTTACTGCAGACGGGGAAGGTCTACTAAACGGCGGTTTTGCCTAAAGACACAGGAGGTGTCTTAACAATTGGTGGCAAGCGACGGGATGAATCCCACAGCATTGGAGGTCAGCTACAAGACATGCAGTACGAGGAATTAAGGCGTGCTACACTTAAGGACATATTGTAAGGCCGAGGAAGGTCAGCAAGCAATTTAAAGAAACGGGAGATTATTGCTTTGCTACTAGAGATGGATGCAGCACCGGGAACGGAGAGAGTCAATGTGCCCAGTACTCCCCAGGGTATAACCACTAAGCTCTGCTAAGAGCTTGTTCCTGTTCCTGCTCTCTGGAATTCGGAGAGAGGTCGACCTGCTGGAAGCTGGACCCTGGTCCTGGGTCCAGAGTGGGTGGAGACGGCGAGATCCCAACCAAGCTGCGGCAGTTCGTGGGGTCTGCAGTGGTTATGGTGTCAGGCAGAGTGCTTGGAGTCCTCGGAAAGCACTAGGAGCATCCGTCGGCGGAAGGTACCCGGTCAGGGTGCCAGCGGTTCCATTACAGTGGTGGCAGCGGTGGGATGGCGTCCTAGTGCGAGGAGAAGCAGCGCAGAGGCACCGGTAACATTTGGAATTACAATTTGAGGGCAACGCTAGTATTCGTACAGCGCCCCTGTTCACAGCAAACATGACCTATCGCTTTGAGGGCGACGCTTACAGGGAGGAGGTCAAGAGGCGGTTAACCAGATATGGCCCGAATCTTTCGACAGAGGCGATTCTGGCAACCATGCGCAAGTTGGATGAGGAGAATCGAGCGGCATGGGAATTTGAGCTCCGATTGCGGAGATTGGGGCTGTGGCCAATTGATCTCTCTCCCCAGCGGCAGACAGCATCCCAGGGAGAGGAGATTGTCGGTCCCTCGTCCCTGCAGCAACCATCATCACTGGGGGTCGAGACAGTCGATCTGACTCCCCAGCGGCAGTGTGTTGTCAAGGGAGAAGAGACAACCGGTCTCTCTCCCCAGCGGCAGACAGCATCCCAGGGAGAGGAGATTGTCGGTCCCTCGTCCCTGCAGCAACCATCATCACTGGGGGTTGAGACAGTCGGTCTGACTCCCCAGCGGCAGTGTGTTGACAAGGGAGAAGAGACAACCGGTCTCTCTCCCCAGCGGCAGTGTGTACCCCAGGGAGCTGAAGGTGTCGTCCTTCCTCCCCAGCGGCAGTATGTATCCCAGGGAGCTGAAGGTACCGTCCTTCCTCCCCAGCGGCAGTGTGTAACCCAGGGAGCTGAAGGTGTCGTCCTTCCTCCCCAGCGGCAGTATGTATCCCAGGGAGCTGAAGGTACCGTCCTTCCTCCCCAGCGGCAGTGTGTACCCCAGGGAGCAGAAGGTGTCGTCCTTCCTCCCCAGCGGCAGTGTGTATGTGTCCTTCCTCCCCAGGCAATGTGTATCCCAGGGAGCTGAAGGTGCAGTCCTTCCTCCCCAGCGGCAGTGTGTATCCCAGGGAGCTGAAGGTGCAGTCCTTCCTCCCCAGCGGCAGTGTGTATCCCAGGGAGCTGAAGGTGCAGTCCTTCCTCCCCAGCGGCAGTGTGTATCCCAGGGAGCAGAAGGTGCAGTCCTTCCTCCCCAGCGGCAGTGTGTAACCCAGGGAGCTGAAGGTGCCGTCCTTCCTCCCCAGCGGCAGTGTGTACCCCAGGGAGCTGAAGGTGCCGTCCTTCCTCCCCAGCAGCAGTGTGTACCCCAGGGAGCTGAAGGTGCCGTCCTTCCTCCCCAGCGGCAGTGTGTACCCCAGGGAGCAGAAGGTGCTGTCCTTCCTCCCCAGCGGCAGTGTGTATCCCAGGGAGCCGAAGGTGCCATCCTTCCTTCCCAGTGGCAACTTACCCCACAAAGAGGAGACACTAGTCTCCCAGAAGGTGCAGAGGAGACCGTGGTCTCTGCACCCGACTTACAGGGATGTTGGACAGCCTGTCCAGATCCCCAACTACCCTTGCAGGGACACCAGGAGGAGGGGGTAAGTACTATTTCCCCTCCCCAGCCATGGCCTAACCCAGCTGCCCCAGCCGAAGCGCTGGCATCGGGGCAGAGCGCAGTTGGCCTCTGCCCCCCAAGCACCCAAAGCGTGTTACCCAGTGACCTCAGAGGAATACCCAGGTGCAGTAAATGTGTGTTGTGGGTGGGCTACTCATGTACTTGTTCACTGTGGGTGGGTTTATCGACTAACTCAAGCACTGACCGACAGGTCAGGTACCTGGTTAGTCTCCCCCCCAAAGGGGAGATGTGTGACGAAATGCCTTTTGTCACCGGATTTTCCCCTGGCTGTTGGAGGAGCCTGATTGCCAGCCTCTTGCCTCATGACTGTGACGAGACCAATCTCGCCACATTGCATTGGAGAAGCCTGGTTGCTCGCCTGCTGCCTTTGGACTATGGCCCCTTTTAAAAAGACTTTATTTTTGCATGCAGAAAAGCTGTATTCGTGCTTTTCTGCCGGTTGTTCGGTAGTTTCAATCTACCGAACAACCGTACGAATGACTGGACCACCTGGGAGCTGGAGTGTGCCGGCAATTAACCTCCCTGAAGCTGCGGTTAACCGCAGCTTAATTGATGAACGCTGGGTGGCCGCCGTTCGTATCCCGAACACGAGGTCGCGGCCATTTTAAACCATACGAATGAACAGCGGTGTTCGCCTCTATTTTCATGGAACTAAAAATCGGACACAGTTTTGCGCGAACACCGCTGAAGCCGCCGACCTCCCTTCTTGTTCGGTGAAAGCACACGAATGACCCGGTGTTCGGTATTTTTGTGTGAATGTCTTATACCCCAGATAGGAATCCCATGGAGCCCATTCGTATGAAACTGACTGTAAAGACTTTGGCTCCATGGCGATTGAACTGTATTCGTGTAGTCTGAGTGCCATTCACCTAATAATGTGCACTCAGACCTTAGCTATCTGGGGATATGTTACATGTCTGTGGTTTATGTAGTAAATGTTACTTTGTGCATTTTAAAGTGTTATGCTGGTTTTGTGTTCCCACGTGTGTAATGGAGTTTTGCCTTTGTCTTGGGAGATAATTGAGTTACTTCCCAATTATCTCCCAGGGCAGAGGGGAGGAAGCCAGGATGCATTGTGGGAATATACTGTGACTGTGTGTCCTTTTTGTATACTTGTCTGTCCCTTGTCACAGTCTCCCATCTGGTCCCCTAGGGGAGTGTCCACCAGGTGGGAGACCTGCATAAAAGCTGGGCAGGTAGCCCTCATTAAACAGACCACTGCTTGACCCTCAACACGGAGCCTTGTCTCGTCTTTGGGGGGATTTACTGTATGCTGCTAAGGACTGATTGCCAGGAGTGTAAGCCGCTTGGGAGCTTTTCCTGTTCGTCTGGTAGCAGCAATTCGTATGGTTCCTGTTCGTGTATTTGGAGTGCTATATTGGATGCCATTCGGGAGTTTGGAGCATTCACTTATTGGCGGTTCGTGAGTTTTGGTGATTATACCGTAGCTGTGCCTGTCTCTGAAAAGGGGGATTATCGTCTAAGTGGTTTTTTCCCCTTTTATGCTAAACGGTCCGTTACAATTGGTGGCAAGCGGCGGGATCGTTCCCACGGACTACAGGACAGCTACAGGAGACACCATTCCGTGGATTTACAATTTGAGGGCAACGCATGTCCCAGTACAGCGACCCTGACAGCAACAGCATGGAACCAGCAGTGGCGTACAGCTACTCAAGGAGAGAGTTTGACAATATGATGGGATTGCGGCTGAAGTACTACGGACCCAATCCACCGGAGAAATCGGTGCAGCTTATAAGGAATCTAGTGTTCAAGAATCTGCAACACCGGGCAGAAAGAGAAGGTCAGCTGGCACGTTGGGAAGAACTCCAGCGACAGGTACTGCAGGGAATTGGGAGCCCAGTCTCCATTCCCCAGCGGCAGTGTGATATGCAGGGAATTGGGAGCCCAGTCTCCATTCCCCAGCGGCAGAGTGAATTGCAGGGAATTGGGAGCACAGTCTCCATTCCCCAGCGGCAGAGTGAATTGCAGGGAATTGGGAGCCCAGTCTCCAGTCCCCAGCGGGAGAAATTGCAGGGAATTGGGAGCCCGAGCTCCATTCCCCAGCGGGAGATATTGCAGGGAATTGGGAGCCCAGTCTCCATTCCCCAGCGGGAGAAATTGCAGGGAATTGGGAGCCCGAGCTCCAGTCCCCAGCGGGAGATATTGCAGGGAATTGGGAGCCTGAGCTCCATTCCCCAGCGGCAGGCTGAGTTACAGGGGACAGAGATAGTTGCTCCTGTCCCCCAGCAGCAGAAGGAATTGCAGGGAATTGGGAGCCCAGTCTCCATTCCCCAGCGGGAGATATTGCAGGGAATTGGGAGCCCGAGCTCCATTCCCCAGCGGGAGATATTGCAGGGAATTGGGAGCCCAGTCTCCATTCCCCAGCGGCAGTGTGATACGCAGGGAATAGGGAGCACAGTCTCCATTCCCCAGCGGCAGAGTGTCCTACCGGGAATAGAGAGCCCAGTCTCCTTTCCCCAGCAGCAGGACACTGTATTGGGAGCGGAGACAGTCGGTCTCCCTCCACAGAGGATGAAAATAGGTATGGGAGAGGAGCTTGCTACCACCTCTCCCCAGCGGCAGATCATTAATGGGCAGGGAATAGAGAGCTCAGTCTCCTTTCCCCAGCGGCAGAGTGTTATATTGGGAGAGGAGCCTGTTACCCCCTCTCCCCAGCGACAGGGCTGTCTAGCCAAAGGGGAGACAGTCGGTCTCCCCCTCCAGCAGCAGAGATGGGTAACCAAAGGGGAGACGGTCGGTCTCCAGCAGCAGGACTGTGCATCTAAAGGGGAGACAGTCAGTCTCCAGCAGCAGCAGCAGAGCGGTGTATTTAAAGGGGAGACAGTCGGTCTCCCCCTCCAACAACCAGGCTTCCACCAGGCTACCCTCCCAGTAGCGCTGGCAACAGGGCAGAGTGCCGCTGGTCTCTGCCCACGCAGCAACCCACCAAGTCAGCGTACCCGTACCCAGCACAGCCGTGGTGAGGCACCTGGACATGGACAAGCTTCTTCTCTACCCAGGTGTAGTAACCATTTATTGTGGGTGGGCTGTGCTGTGATTATTTGTTGTGGGTGGGCTGCTGGACTAACAAGGGCACTGACCGGCAGGAGGTCAGATACCCTGTTAGTCTGTTTGGAAAAGGGGAGAGATGTGACGAGACCAATCTCGCCACATTGCATTGGAGAAGCCTGGTTGCTCGCCTGCTGCCTTTGGACTATGGCCCCTTTTAAAAGACTTTATTTTTGCATGCAGAAAAGCTGTATTCGTGCTTTTCTGCCGGTTGTTCGGTAGTTTCAATCTACCGAACAACCGTACGAATGACTGGACCACCTGGGAGCTGGAGTGTGCCGGCAATTAACCTCCCTGAAGCTGCGGTTAACCGCAGCTTAATTGATGAACGCTGGGTGGCCGCCGTTCGTATCCCGAACACGAGGTCGCGGCCATTTTAAACCATACGAATGAACAGCGGTGTTCGCCTCTATTTTTATGGAACTAAAATCGGACACAGTTTTGCGCGAACACCGCTGAAGCCGCCGACCTCCCTTCTCGTTCGGTGAAAGCACACGAATGACCCGGTGTTCGGTATTTTTGTGTGAAATCTTATACCCCAGATAGGAATCCCATGGAGCCCATTCGTATGAAACTGACTGTAAAGACTTTGGCTCCATGGCGATTGAACTGTATTCGTGTAGTCTGAGTGCCATTCACCTAATAATGTGCACTCAGACCTGAGCTATCTGGGGATATGTTACATGTCTGTGGTTTATGTAGTAAATGTTACTTTGTGCATTTTAAAGTGTTATGCTGGTTTTGTGTTCCCACGTGTGTAATGGAGTTTTGCCTTTGTCTTGGGAGATAATTGAGTTACTTCCCAATTATCTCCCAGGGCAGAGGGGAGGAAGCCAGGATGCATTGTGGGAATATACTGTGACTGTGTGTCCTTTTTGTATACTTGTCTGTCCCTTGTCACAGTCTCCCATTTGGTCCCCTAGGGGAGTGTCCACCAGGTGGGAGACCTGCATAAAAGCTGGGCAGGTAGCCCTCATTAAACAGACCACTGCTTGAACCTCAACACGGAGCCTTGTCTCGTCTTTGGGGGGATTTACTGAATGCTGATAGAGACTGATTGCTAGGAGTGTAAGCCGCTTGGATGCTTTTCCTATTCGTCTGGTAGCAGCAATTCGTATGGTTCCTGTTCGTGTATTTGGAGTGCTATATTGGATGCCATTCGGGAGTTTGGAGCATTCACTTATTGGCGGTTCGTGAGTTTTGGTGATTATACCGTAGCTGTGCCTGTCTCTGAAAAGGGGGATTATCGTCTAAGTGGTTTTTTCCCCTTTTGTGCAAAACGGTCCGTTACAATGACTATGGTCCTGGGTTATTTGGCCCTTCAAGTACAATATTTGGGCATATTGGATTTGTATGGTGCTGCTGCTGGCCCTTTAAAAACCATCCCTGGACATATTATGACTTTTAGGAACAATTTTCCCTTTAAGACTGTGTAGCAGATTGCATTCAGGCGGTCTGCAATATTATATATGCTATTATGTGTTCGGTAAATTGGAAATGTGTAGGTTCTATGTGATAAATGTAACAGTATGTATTTTTATGTCTTTTGTTGTCCTTTGTCTGCCATGTGGCTAATGGAGTTTTGCCTCTGTCCTTGGAGATAATTGCATTACTTCTCAATTATCTCCAGAATAGAAGACTCTGAAACCAGTTTGGGCCAGATAGCCATGCTGCCAGCCAGGCCTCAAAAGATACTTGTGCTAACTTCTGAACCCCTGGTCTGATTCATGCCATTTTTTAATATGTTGTTCCCCTGAATGGATTGATTGTGAATATGTAGTTTTATGTGAATGTGATGTATAGTTTTAGAGTTATGAAAGTTGGGTAAAAAGTGTGTTTTAAAATGTATGGATAATTGGGTTACCTCTCAGGCTAAGGGGAGGAGATGTGTGGGATGTAACCATTGTGTGATTGGTTGTACTGTGTCCCACCCAGGGGGATGTCCCCTTGCATGGGGACCTGCATAAAAGAAGGTTCTTTGTGTGCCAATAAACAGATCATCTTGTACCTTCATGCAGTTTCAGCTCATGTTTGGGGGATTGGAGAAACTACACTCTGGGGATTGCTATAATCACTATACTCCCCAGGGTATAATCACTAAGCTCTGCTAAGAGCTTGTTCCTGTTCCTGCTCTCTGGAATTCGGAGAGAGGTCGACCTGCTGGAAGCTGGACCCTGGTCCTGGGTCCAGAGTGGGTGGAGACGGCGAGATCCCAACCAAGCTGCGGCGGTTCGTGGGGTCTGCAGTGGTTATGGTGTCAGGCAGAGTGCTTGGAGTCCTCGGAAAGCACTAGGAGCATCCGTCGGCGGAAGGTACCCGGTCGGGGTGCCAGCGGTTCCGTTACAGTTTGTATTTGGAATTGGTTTGGTTGTATGGAATTTGCTCTTCCCCACTGGAAAGAAGAAGCGAAGTGGCACCGCTTATAAGAAATTAGACGCTCTGTAGTCAGCCCGTCTAATACAGGTGGTTTGGGTCAGACTGAATCTTCTTGTAAATAGTTCATCTTCATGACACCGGTGTCCTGTCTTGACTAGTGTATCTAGGTGTAAATTTTGGTTGCTAGGTCAGGTGGACCGGGAGACTAAGCAGATTCTGGTGTACATTCTGTCTGCTAGATCTATCTAGGCAAAACTGTTGAAATGTTATGTGATCGGTTAGTATATGTGGATTAATAGCGTGGATAGTTGTATGGTTTCATTAATAGTTACAGTGATGAGTATATAGTGTTTGGTGAGTCTTGATTTTACTTGTGTGTGCGCGACGTCGTGATATTGTTGAGCATGTGATGATCCTGTGTGTGCGTGCATGTGTGTGTTTGGGCCTAGCAACTGTGCCATGTGGTGCTGGTGATTAGGAGATTGGTTTGACTGTTGAAACTGTGTGTATATTTGTACAGCTTTTGAATCAGATGTTCTGTTGAAATCATCTTCTGATTCACAAGACTGTTGGTCCTTTGTCTTGTATGTTAAAAAAAAACAAAAACCTGTGTAGTAGGGAGTGGCCTGTCCTGGTGGCCGCATGGCCTCCATGTGGCAGTCTTGACTTAAATTTAGTGCAGGGTGTACATGTGGCTGTAACTAGTAGGCCGGAATTCTATGATCAGTTTCCATATATTGACTGTTGGAAACTGATTGTTGAAAAACTACCTTGGTGAATTAAACTGTACCATGAGGAACAATGGAGCCACATGGTGGTCAGAACTAAGGCCTTAAAGGACCTCAGGGTCCCCCTCCCGCCAGGCTGGATGGAGAGGAAAGGGTTAAATCTTACCTTTTTTCCAGCGCCGGGCGGGGAGCTCTCCTCCTCCTTTCCTCCCTCTTCTCCTCCTCTACGGCTGAATGCGCATGCACAGCAGGAGCTGCGCGCGCATTCAGCCAGTCCATAGGAAAGCATTCACAATGCTTTCCTATGGACGCTGGCGTCTTCTCACTGTGAAAATCACAGTGAGAAGCACGCAACCGCCTCTAGCGGCTGTCAAGAGACAGCCACTGGAGGCTGGATTAACCCTATTATAAACATAGCAGTTTCAGAAAAAAGGGTTAACCCTAGCTGGACCTGGCACCCAGACCACTTCATTAAGCTGAAGTGGTCTGGGTGCCTATAGTGGTCCTTTAATTCCACCTAGTTTGGACACCCCCACCCTCCCTTGCATCTGATTACCAGCCCCCTATTCATCCTCCAGACCCAGAGTAGCCATTCCTCCACTCTTCCTCCCAAGCTAAAAATGGTATAGCTGGTATTTGCACTCCCCCTGCTCTATTGTCCCCGCCTACCCACATTCTTTTGTTTCAAACACTTGTATTTCTGTACCAACTGGTTCTTTGTAATTTGAACTGACTTCCTTTTTGGTAGGAGTGTATTTTAGCATTGAATTTTATTAACAGTTAAACTGTGAGGAGAATTCTTAATAACAGTAACAGTCTAAAATACAACTGGAAGAAATGATCAATGGTATAAGACGATAGGATATACTTTTATCCTTTTTTTGTAGTTACTGGATGGGCCCCTCCCAGCTTTGTCCAAAATATCCCCTTTACTAAAATACAAACTGAAATGTTTAATTTACCTTAGAACTAAAGATTTAATCAAGCCTAGATATCAGGGTGGACAGTGATTAAAATAAGTAATAATAAAATAGGACATAATTAATTAAAGTCTATCTGTTTCATTAGACTTTAGGAAGCACTCTAGGGCCACCTACTGGCCATCTTTGGGAGTTACATTGATAATACATTGTTTATAACAGACAGAAGTAGGATTGCTTACCCTATTTTAATATATTTATTGCTATAAGGTTTTATTTTATGTATAAATATATTAAAAGTTAGGTTTTTTTATTTTTTTCCATCCACCAAATGCTGACTAGTAAAATTATCTCACCCTCTTACACCTATCTTACTACTCCCAGACCGGAACCTATTACTGAGCAGCCTTGCCGAAGTCCCATACTAAGACGAAAACTGACTGGCACCCTTCCATCCCGACATTGCCAAATGCCCCTTCGACTTACACCTGGCCCACCACATATTGATGGTAATGGACAGTTGCAATTAGCAAATCCTGTATTTGTTTAAGTCCCTTTTACCATGTCCGACCTGTTCAATTGGAAGAGTGACTGTCCACAGAGGGGATATATTGCAGGTGGTAGACAAGAAGAGAGAAGAGGGCGAGGTGGTTATGGTAGCAGCTATAGAGGACGAGGTAGAGGAAGTTTTGGAGGGAATAATGGATATAGCAGAGGGGGTGTTCAGGGAGGGAGATATTATCCCCCTACCCAGAGATTAAGGGATAGGGAAGATAGAGATTTTGTAGGTCTGGCTGACACTGTCATGGAAGACTATTTATACCGACCGGGCTCCATCCCACTTGGCCGAGCAGAACCTATGGCCGATGTATCAATAGGGGGAAAAAGAAGTCCTTTCATGATAGACGTGCTGAACATTCTGTGGTGACCAAATTGGTAGCTCCTCCTTCTGAGAAGATTATAACTGTGATAGGAGCTACTGGGAAAAGCGCTGCTAGAACGATTCTCAGGAGTCGTACTTGCATTCTAGGAGGCCATTTTGTGAAGCACCAGTTCCTATACATGCCAGAGTGTCCAATCCAACTTCTAGGATGAGATCTATTATCAAAGCTTCAAGCTCAGATAACTTTTCTGCCTAATGGATCAACGTCTCTGAAGTTTAATAAATCACCTGGCATAATAGCGGTATCGCCAAAAGAAGAAGAATGGCGCTTCTATTCTGTAATAAATGCAAACCCTAAGAGTGATGGAACTTTATTTGACATTCCAGGAGTATGGGCAGAAAATAATCCTCAAGGACTTGCTTGTAACATCCCACCGATACATATTGAATTCGAGGTGTATCCTGTTAGCCTTTGTATGTTGTTCTTTTATCTACCCCAACAGCTGTAAAGGTGGCGGAAGTGACTCCTTGGATTCATCACTCTAGGGGTAAACCAGCGGCAGATTCCTGGCAAGCTACTCCAGATCCTGAGAATTCTTGCAAGATCCGGTTGAAGCGCATAACCCAGTTGGATTGAACATGTCGTGAGAAAAAGTACGAGGGGATATCGAGACATTCTAGTTAAAAGTCTACAGAGATCATCAAGTAGGTGTTTTGACGGCCATAATAAAGCCTGACCACCTGCCTACGTGTCATAAGCCAGAGTGTCTCGAGGAGATCTCTGTGAAGGAAAGTGAGGATCAGAAAGACAACAATCCTTGCAGCCCTCACAAGCGGGAAGCTGAGGTGCTGTCACACGGTCGAAGAATAAGATGAGGACCACAAGAATGATGTGCTTAATTACGTGTTTTAGTATTTTTATAATTTTTCAGAAGGGTAAAGGTAAGGATATTCAAAGCTGTGTTAGTTGTATTAAGACTACAAAAACAGGTAACCAAATATCCCAAATAGTGATGTCCCAAACGGTTCACCGAACGGTTCGCCACGAACGGTTCGCCACGGACTCATCATTGAGTAAACTTTGACCCTGTACCTCACAGTCAGCAGACACATTCCAGCCAATCAGCAGCAGACCCTCCCTCCCAGAACCTCCCACCTCCTGGACAGCTCACTAAGAATGCAGCTTCAAAATGGATGCTGTCCAGGAGGTGGGAGGGTCTGGGAGGCAGGGTCTGCTGCTGATTGGCTGGAATGTGTCTGCTGACTGTGAGGTACAGGGTCAAAGTTTACTCAATGATGAGTCCGTGGCGAACCGTTAGCGAACCGTTC